AAAGGATCGGCGACTCCAGTGGTTGCACCTGTACCAGCAGATGTCTCGAACCTGAACTCAGAACCAAACCCTCGAGACTGCTGCAGCGTCTGAGCAAAGGCTTGGTATTTCCTGATGTCTGCATCACTCACACTCCTACGCGCATACTTCATCGACTCCTCAAAGTGTGCAGCTTTGATCTCTGATACTTCATCCACTCCATCTTCCTCCATAGCCTCTGGGTTCTCGCTCCTCCTCTTCTCCTTTTCAATGTCCTGAAAACATAAACCAAAGTAGCTTAATTTAGATATTCGAGACTCTTGCATTTAGGATTAAAGGGAGGATATAGAAGCCTTGTTTGATCTCTGACCTTCTCGATGTTTTCCCTGATGGCATACTTGCAAGCCCTCTGGCAAATCTCAGTGATATCAGCACCACTGAATCCCTGTGTGTACTTAGCGAGAGCATTGAGGTCTACGTCTTTAGCAACAGGAGACTTTCTCAAGCAGGCCTTGAAGATATTGAGACGGGAATCCTCGTCTGGTAGTGGAATGTAAATGAGCTGGTCAAGCCTTCCTGGACGGAGAAGAGCAGAATCGATAATGTCTGGTCTGTTGGTTGCTCCAATGATGAACACGGTTTTCTTGGCGTTCATTCCATCCATCTCAGTCAAAAGCTGATTCAGGACTCTATCCGCTGCACCACCTCCATCACCTCCGGCTCCACTTCCTCTCTGAGTTGCAATGGAGTCAAGCTCATCAAAGAAGAGAACACATGGAGCGGATTGACGGGCCTTGTCAAAGATTTCACGGACATTCGCTTCACTCTCTCCAAACCACATAGTGAGAAGCTCAGGACCCTTGACACTGATGAAGTTTGCTTGGCACTCGTTGGCGATAGCTTTGGCCAAAAGGGTTTTACCACATCCAGGTGGACCGTAGAAAAGGACTCCCTTCGATGGAGACATCCCGAATTTTTCAAACTTCTCTGGGTGCTCAACCGGGTATTGAACAGTCTGCAATTAAACAAACACACAGCTTAGCTTAGCTACAATTAATGGAAAGAGCCAAGCACAAATGGAAATAGCAATTTACCTCCTGGAGCTCCCTCTTGACGTTCTCAAGACCTCCAATGTCATTCCAAGAGACATTGGGAACCTCCACAACCTGCAAAGCGAAGAAAATTTGGAATGAGTTATATGTGAAATTACAGGTTTTGATCTCATTGTATGCACAGCACTGTCAATACTCACAGTTTCACGAAGTGCAGATGGGTTGCTGTTCCCGAGAGCGGTGTGGAAGTGTTCATTAGTCACTGCCATGGAATTGAGAATTTCAGCATCGATGGAGTCATCTTCCAAATCAATCACATCCATCTTCTCCCTGATGCATTGCAGGGCAGCTTCTGTACACAGAGCTGCAAGATCGGCACCAACATAACCGTGTGTGTCCTTTGAGATCCTTTCAAGATCCACCTGGAAACAGAAAACCACAAGAAAAGCTTAGCTTCAATAAGAATTACACTCAACTAACACAGGCAGAGCTAGAATTAAAGAAGTTACATCTTCAGCAAGCTTCATGTTCTTTGTGTGGATCCTGAGCACTTCAAGACGTCCAATTTCGTCAGGGACCCCAATATCAATCTCCCTGTCAAATCTTCCAAACCTTCTCAAAGCTGGGTCGATACTGTTGGGACGATTGGTTGCTCCCATGACAATAACATGAGCACGCGATTTAAGTCCATCCATTAGCGTAAGGAGCTGAGACACAATCCTCCTCTCAACCTCTCCATTTGTCTTCTCTCTTTTCGGAGCAATAGAGTCAATCTCATCAATGAATATGATTGAAGGAGCATTTTTCTCAGCCTCCTCAAATGCTTTCCTGAGATTGCTCTCACTCTCACCAGCAAGCTTGGACATGATCTCCGGTCCATTGATACAGAAGAAAAAGGCACCAGTCTCATTAGCCACAGCACGAGCAATCAAAGTCTTTCCAGACCCAGGAGGTCCATAGAGCAGAATTCCCTTTGGTGGCTTAACACCAATTGACTTGAATAGTTGTGGATGCCTCAAGGGAAGCTCAACAAGTTCCCTAATCTGAGCCATCTGCTTCCTGACACCACCAACATCATCATAACCCACATCATCTAGCCTTTCCTCATCCTCTCTCTTCACTGGCTCACCCTCACAGAAAATCTCTGTGTCCGGAGCAACCACACAGTACTCAGCAGGATCTGTCTCGATAACTTTGAACTCCACGCTCCTCATTCCTCCTCTGACTAGGAAGAGATCACCCTTCCTCACTGGGCGGTATGCCTCCAAGAAGTAAGCTGTTAAAAAAAATCGACTTTTGTTCAGAAATCACTCCAACACTATAACACTATCTCAAAGAAAACAAGAACCCCAAAAAGAAAAACTTGCGTAGTTGGATTAGGATCTCAAAACAGAAGGCAACTTACGTTTCAGGTAAGCATCAAAGAGGTTTCCAGTCACCCCTTCGACAGTATCATCAACTGGCAAGATGTGAACACGCTTTCCGTACTTGACATCTGGGCATTGGTGAACAGAAATAACATCTCCAAGTCTAACCCTCAAGTTAGATCTGACCACTTTGTTCATTCTGATCTTAGGCTCCTCACATGATTCATCAGCAAGAGCAATGCAGACAGTGTCCTTCCTTTTCTTACCCTGAAACCCAAAAAGCCAAAGCAATTAAGAACTCACAAATATCACAAACAAAAAATCAGTCATCGAGACAGGATCAGTACAGAACTATCACAGGTCTCTTCACAATCATAATACATAAGATCACAAATCACTGGATTCAAAAGTCTACAAAACCCTAATTAAAGTAGAACCACAGAAGTATCCATCAATCAATCATAGGAAAAAAACCTAATTTACATCCCTTTCATAGACACAGAAACCAACCATTCAATATCCCAATCAAAAGAGAAACCAAACGAACAAAAGCAAAAACCCAACCTTGATGAGAATCGTATCACCACGGAAAAGCTGGAGCTTTTCCATGGTTGCAGGGTGGAGAGACACGACGGAGTTATCATCGTTAGTGGCCTCATCGACGACAAGCCTGTTCGGAGACTTCTTCCTCTCCAGAATAGCAGTACTGAAATCCTTCTTCGATTTCCTGTAACAAACACCCAGCAAAAAAAGGATTAAGCTTCAACTATAAAACACGAGATCAACCAAAAACCCTAATCTCAAAATCAAAACCCAGACTCAAAAGATTCAAAATTTCCCGATCGGAAAACCAAAAGTCGGAGATCTGAGTACTTACGAGTCTGAAGATTCAGCTGGGTTTGACATGGTGGATGGATTTGAGGTCAAGGAGAAAGTTCCCTCAGAAAAATCGAAGAAGAAAGTTGAGAGCTTTTCGTCTTCTCTGAGAGATCGATTGTGATTATAAGATCTGAGGAAGAGTAGAGATTATCGCAAATTAATATCTCTTATGTTTCTTGTTGGAAAAGAGAGCTCGAC